GAAATCATCTACCGTTTTAACCTAAAAACTCGTCTCCTGATTTAATAGAGTATTAAGATGACGTATGCAATAAATCAACTAAACGTGTCATAGGCGGATCCAGGTGGGGGGAGAGTAGGGGAGCGATGGGCCTTTCGTCCCTCCAGCGGCACAGGCACCAGTGCAACGAAAGTCTTGGTTTGAAGCTAAAACTGAAGAAAACTCTTTTCTTCAATCCAGTCGCCCCACCAGGAGCCCCATTCCCCTCTCTAGCCTCGCTCGTCGCCGCTAGGATCCCCACTTCCTTCCCTTCACTCGTCCTCTCCCCTCCTTCCACCCTCGCTAGGAGGCCGCCATAGATCCGCTTATGGAACGTATCCAGTGATACTCATCAAAGTTGGTCTCAACAACGCCAGCAGAATGAAAAGGTAGTTTTTTTTTTTCATTTTTAAAGTGATACTTTTTGAATTCCCGCTTAAATCTAAGTATTAAAAATCAGTTGCTCCTGTGAAAGACTTTCCTTTTACTTACAGTTATGCGTTTTGTGCTGTGTAACAGCAGAACAAAACGCATATTGTCACGAGGCTGTCTGTGCTGTGTATGTATGTATGTCTGTATGTATGTATGTATGTATGTATGTATGTATGTATGTATGTGCGTGTGTCCGCACCAACTTGTCCACAACTTTCAACCCGGAAACCACAAAGCTAGGAAGCTGAGAATTTAGGGGAACGTTCCCCAACCAGGTGCGACCCTACGAATTTAAATTTAGCCTCCTGGTACCCGCGGGTAGCATGTACGACCCCGTAAAAATTTTGGCTGGGGAAATTATCTCGGGAACCACGGAAGCTAGGAAGCCGTAACTTTGTGGATATGTCCCCTGCCCATGTCCAATCCAGAAAATTTAAATTCAGCCTTCTCTCTTGCCCGCGGGTAACATACACGGTCCCATAGAACTTTTGGCGGGAAAATTATTATCTCGGGAATCACGGGGTCCAGGAAGCTGAAATTTTAAGGAAATGACTCCTTGCTCATGTACGACTCGCAAATTCAAATTCAGCGCCTCCACGTTCTCGGGTGCTACCTACAGTCCCGTGAAACTTTTGGCGACTAAATTGTTATTTAGGGAACCACGCAATCTAGAAAGCTGAAAATTTATGGATATGTTCCCTGTTCACGCATGACCTTTTAAATTTGAATTCAGCCTTCCCGTGCTTGTGAGTATCAAGTGCCACCACGTGAAACTTTGTTGGGTGAATTATTGTCTCGAAATCAAAGAAGCTGAAATTTTAGCGTAGCGTTCCTGCCCACGTACGACTCCGAAAATTCTTGTCGTCCCTTTGAAAGTTTTGATGGAAAAATTAATTATCTCGGAAGCCAGAAGAGCTATGAGACTAAAAATTTCAGGGAGATATTTTACAGGAATTTCACAAATTCGAACTCAGTTCCTGAGCATGCCGAGGTCTCACATGCGATCATGTGAAAGTTCTGTCTTAAAGATCATTCGAAAGCCAGAAAATTAGGAGGCTGCAATTTTGGAAGGATATTCACCCTTCGAGGTTACAAATTTAGCTTTCACATACCGGTGTGTGAAATTTTTAACTATTTTTCAACATTTCAATTATTTTTGCACATACTAAGGTACAGAGCAGTGAAAATTATTAACAGGCAATCATTCGGTGGGCGG